TTTTTTTTTTTTTTTTTTGCATAGGATGCTTTGGTCTTATTTCCCTCATGCCATCTGTGACCACTTAGAAGTCAGTGGAAAATAAGTGCGGTGGTAAGATCACCTCTTTTTGCTGGTGTGCTGAGGTTTCTCCACTGACAACTTTAACAAAAATACTGCTTTTTTCCCTCCCCCACCCACCCCACAACCTAAACAAGAACTACCCTACTGACAAGCTGCTTTTTAAAATGAGGTAACCAACATAGGTGTGAAGTTATATATATCTGTTGTAAGGCCCTGTAACCCGTGTAAAGGCATATGGAGATGTAGTTACTGTGGAGTTTGTGGTGACTGACATAGTCCTTTGTGCGAGAGACTGGATAAAACGCACGTATGTTGGTTCTGAGGGTTCATGTGATTCAGTAGGCTCCCGCTTTGCTTTTTTGCCGTAAGATTTCTGAGGCACATAGTCTGGACCATATTTCTCACACTCCTCTTCTTTTTCTCTTGCCTTCTCGGCCATCTTTGCCTCCCACAGAGCCAGACCATGTTTTGGCTCATTCATGCTCTTATGCTGGTAGAAGACAAGTGATATCCTAGTAGGATGGTTCCTGTTGGGATTTTTCAAGGGGGTTGTTGCATGGAGCTCACGTTTTGCGCATTCAATGAGAATTGAGCCATGAGATGGAGCAACTGCCACTCCTCCAATATCTGGGTCCAGAAAGCTCTGCTCATTATCTGACCAGATGTCATCAGGGTCCTCTGCTTTTTCTGGAATCAGCACATCAATTTTATCTAAACCACCTTGGGGAGTAGTCCTATCATGATTTTGACCTGGAAGCATGTTAGACATGCCGTTAGCTGTGTGTGAAGTCATTTCACTATCCTTATTTTGGAGATGCAGTGAATTAGGAGGACCATTAAACATATTTGAAGCAGAATGGTAGTCATGTGCTAAATGTGAAGGCAGCTGTAATTGATGTTCACCATTTTTATTCATGGAAGCATAATCCATGCTTGGATTACTGAGATTAGATTTTAATCTTGAGGCAACATCCATAAAATGGCTATCAGCCTCATGGGTGGGATAAGGGGAAAAAGACCCTACATGATGCACCTTTGGTCTAATGGCGCAATTATTGAAAGAGTCTACCTGCATATTTTGGTTTCCATAATTCAAGTATTTGGGACCAAAATTCTGGTTATTCCCAAACCTATGCTGGTATAGTGTATGAATAGGTGGTAGACTTAGTTTAGATAGAGGATCTTGGCTCTGATACCTATACAAGTCCATGTGCTGAGGTTGTGGTGGATAGGAACCCAAGTAAGAGGGGCAATTGTCCACAGGCATGTTTCCATTGCATTGGTAAGATGGATATTGGTTATTTTGATTTAGTGATCCTGAATAAGGGTTCATGGGGTTGGAAGAATTCAAATAAGACCCTGCAGGCTGTGACGAGGTTGTATAAAGGTTCATGGGGTTAGACCCTCCGTAGGGATCTGACGTATATGTTGAACTTGGATAAGAATTAGCTGGGTTAGGCAGCCTCATATAAAGATTTGCCGGACCTGAACCCGAGTAAGAGTTAATAGGATTTGACTGGGGGTTATTAGAGAGAGTATGTTGTAGATGCTGCTGCTGCTGTTGTTGCATGGCTGGTCCTGAAAGACGTAAAAGATCTGCAGACATAAAAAGAAAGGGAAAAATAAAAGCATTTTATTTTTAAACCAAACGTTAGACTTAGGCTCTTGAAGTAAACGCTGAGAAGTCATAATGGAATCTGTTCAAGGGAAGAGTTAAATTTGCATAAGCATTTTCCAAAATGAACCCCAAAACTGCATCCAAATAGAATGCTATGTGGATTGGACAACTGCTTTTTCAGTAATGGTCAAAGGTCCATGCATGTCCATGTTGGCAGACCTGTCTGAAAACTTGCCTATAACTGTAATCCTGCCTATGTAAAAAAACCCTATTGCCTGAAATAAGAATTCAGGAAGGATTAAGACTAGTACAATTACAGTAAAAGGAATAAGGCAGAATGACTGGTAGCTAAAGTCCTGCACTGTGTCTCAGCTGTGGCCTTCTGGACAGCCCTATACTGGATGATCGTTGGCAAGTCACTTTACTGTTTTCTGCCTCAGTTTTCCTAACAGTAAAATGGAGTTAATGATTTCCTTTATATACAGCTTTGAGCTGCTAATGGAAGATCTACATAATTGGACTTTTAGACATTTCTGACTATAGAGAAGTCGTATCTATTCTTGGTCCCGAAGCAGCAAATTTAGGTAATAATGCAAAGGTATTCTAAAGCTTTACTGGACTGGGTCCCTCTGAAATGTGGGGCTTCTCCAAAAAATCTTCAGCCTTCCATCTCTTCTAACTTGGACAGTAATGGGCAATGTGTGGTGTGCAGGCTGCTCCAGGGTGATAGTGGTTTACATCAAGCTCACTGTGCACGCTCAGAACCAATATTTATTTGATTTATATGCTGCCCTTCCCAACAAAGGTTCAGGGTGCCTTACAACAGGAAAACAGAATACCTTAAAAACAAGAGAGTGACAAATGACTATTTAATTCTTGGCTTCCCTGAGGCTGCCAGCAAGAATCAGTTAAGGCTATTTTTGCTGATGGTTTTTTGTGTAGTTGTTTTGGCAATGGTGATGGGACCAAAAAATTAATGTAGGTCCAAAAATCTAGTGAATGGTGGTAGTTTGTGGTCATAACCAATGTAGACCAGGCTGGAAATAATGCTGCATAAACTAAGGAAATAAGGCTAGATGAAAGTACGATAACATGGATATATAACTGGTTGGATCATTGTGCTCAAAAGTAGTCATTAAATATCTCAACATCTATTTGCAAGGAGGTATCAAGTGGGGTTCACTAGGAGTATGTCCCGGGTCTGGTACTTAATCTCGTCATCTGTGTCATTAGTGAAGTGCATGTTTAGCAAATTTGCAAATGACACCAAGTTGGGTCGTGTGGCAGACATTAGGGCTAGGATCCAGAATGACCTGGATAGACCAGGAAAATAGCCTGCAGTCAATCAGATGAAATTCAGTGGGGACAAGTACAAAGTCCTGCACGTGGGACAGAAAAGTCACATGCACAAACACAGACTGGGGAATGACTGGCTAGGCTGCAGTAGCGCAGGGAGAGAGACCTGTGAGTTATATTAGACTATAAGCTAAAAATGAGTGAACATTATGCTATTATTGCAACCAAAAAAAAATAGCCAACACTGGGTTGTATTAACAGGAGTGTCACTTGCAAATCAAAGGAAGTGATTCTTTTACTCTAGTCAGCACTGATGAGGCCTTACCTGGAGTACTGTGTCCAGTTTTGGGCCCTACACTTCAAGAAAGACGAGGACAGACTGGAAAGAGTCCATCACAGAGCAACAACAATGATTAAGGGGCTGGGAGGCAAGATATGAGGAAAGGCTGAAGGAGGTAGGGTTATTTAGTCTGAAGAAGAGAAGACTACGGTGGGATTTGATAAAAGTCTTCAAACAACTGAAGGGTGATTATAAAGAGGATGGAGATGGGCTTTTTCTTTGTGGCTGTAGGGGGCAGTAGTAGGAGCAATGGTGTTAAGGAAAATAAACTATCAAAGGAAAATAAGGTTGGAGATTAGGAGGAACTTTCTGACTACAAGGGTGCTCAAGCATTGGAATAGGTTACCTAGAGAAACTGTGGAATCTCCATCCCTGGAAGATTTCAACAGGGACAGACACTTGGCTGAGACTGTCTAGTCAGGGACAATCCTGCCTTGAGTAGGGAGCTGGACTGAGTTTCCTTCTGGCCCTGCTCTCCTATGATCCTATAATACTATGGTTCTTATGCAAAACAAAATAAAACAAACAAAACCCCATCATCAACAACAACAACCTTCTTAGTATTTATTTTCATGCAATGCTGTCTGATATGCCATACTCCTGTAATCTTAGAATGCAAAATATAGTATCTCAGATGTTTCTTGGGTAACAAAGGATGTCTAATATTAATTACTAATTACTATTAAATAAAAAATGCTATTAATTAGTATTAATTTAACTGACAATCACTGTAGATGTGAAAGGTGGCTACTATAGCTGGTTAGGCATTTTCACACAGAAAATGCTTATTTTTTGGGAGGGGGTAAAATTATTTTTTTGGAAAACAATCTGGTTTTCATGACATAATGGCTGCTTGTCTGGGAGGCTGAAATTGATAAAAGCCAACCCTCCCCCCAAACAACCCTTAGTTAGTTCATTTGAAGGTAATCTTTTTAGACTTATGAAAAATTTCAAGCCTTTTTTTAAATACTCTTTGCCCCAATTTGGGTGACCCACTTTCTAAAACCTTAAAATTTTCTGCAGGATGAAAGCTAGATTTTTTGAATCAGCTCCAGTTCTCTCTGTATTTACAAATAGTTTGTGATTCAAGCACCATAACTTGGCTTTCTAATACACTAAAATAGACAGTAATCATTTCAAATTCAATAACTATGTTTGTTTTTCCCATGAAAATGCTCCATGTATTAAGACTTCTGGGTTTTTTCAAGGTTTATTTTATAAATACTTTTCATTTCTATAGACGATGACAAATATTAATAATTGGTATACTAATATAAGATTTATTTCATTTACCTGCTAGCTGTTTTGCTTGACTGGCAGCCTCCAAATTGGCTTGTTTGTGGCGTGCAGCAGAAGACTTGTCTCTTTCAGTTTTGTTAGAGCCATTTTCCAAGGAGGAAAGCTTTTCTGCTGCTGCTTTCTTGGCTTCTAGCTTCTTTTGCCGGCATGTCTTAACAGGCTCTGCCAGCATCCTCACTTTCCTCCGAAAGGAGTTGAGGACTTGGATGCTGCCATTCCTCTTTTTTTCCTCCTGGCCCTCAGTGCTTCCAAACTCATCTATATCAGAGACTTTGTATAATGGGAGTACATGCAGCTGCTCATCTTCTGGAGTTTGGCCAATTACACGATTGTCTTCTCTAGTTAGTGTGCATACCTGTCAGGAAGGTAGGACAGAAAAACTATCAGAAGCAGCATCAAAGTAAGGAAAGAGAACATGAACTCTGTACTTCATGTTTCACTTTATACTGTCTGCTCAGATAGCTGTATAATGGCATGTGCTGGCTGGTAAGATCTAATACTCGCAATGTAACAGATGTAATGCCAAATGGAGCATCCAGTGTATGTTTAAATGGAATTTTAGTTCTCTTTTTCCAAGTTGGTTGTAAACTTTAAACTTCTTTTCAACTTCAAGTCTGCAACTTCTGTTTTTCCTATTCCCATATTTGGTAATGTTAATACACGATATAAGTATAAAACGTGCATTTTCCTCACATTCCATTCTCTTCCAAGAAAGCTGGATAGCCAAGTGTTTCCAGAAGTAAATTAAATCATATGACCAACAGATCCACTGATAGGGACCTGCAGTGCTAGAATCCCTGGAACCCTTCAGCTGGCAGAAAGTTCTTAGGGCAACTTCACAGTGGAAATGTAGAATAAAAAGCATTTCCATGACATTCCATATCCTTTCCCAAAGAATCAAAAAATTCTAAGAGGAGAATAACAGCATAGCAAATTGTAGGATCTTGTTCAGGAATGAATCATCCTTCTGTGAGATGCTAAAACAGTGTAAAGATTCGAGGAAATGACCATTGGCCATCACAATACATCCACCTTGTTATCTTTATCTAAACTATAAGAGGTGTTGGCATTATCTTTTATTGGGGGAAGATATGAAGGGCTAATAAAAACCAAGTGCTATAGGAATATGACTTAATTAGCAAATCTTTGGTCCAGAGGTACAATGGAAAGGAGATGAGTCAGACTTCTGGTATTCATTCTATTATCAATAAAGTAAACATCCATAAAAATATTACATTTGGACAATATAAATTAGCTGGATATTCTATTTGGATAATAGTGAGTACTGTGTTTACTGGCAGTTGCCAGTGTAGTCACTTTAAATTACAGAAAAGCAGAGCTTTTTTTTCTTTTCAATTATATTTAGACTGACAGTCTGCAGCAGACAGAACCCACGAAACCCTCTCTTCATTAGCCAAAATGAAGTTTTCTGACCAGTTCTTATAAAACCTTTCATGAAAGTCTCATGAATAATCGAGCAGGGCAGGGCTGTCCAACTTCTGAGCAGCTAGGGACTGAGAGCTGGGTGGGCTGCACCAGAGAGGGTTGCAGGCCACGGAGGCTACAGGCCCCAGCTGCTGCATGAGTATAAGCCATGGGCTCCTGGGGCCGCACTCCCCACATGTACTGTTGAACTGCATGGGCAGCACTGCACTGCGCATGGAGGCAGTGCCCCTCTCTACACCATGCACATAGGCCGCCTCCATCAGCTTCCCTGCACTACACAGCACCATACCACAGGCTTCCCTGGCTCCATGGGCTGTGCCAGCCTGCCACCTTAGGTAGAAGCAGAAAGGAAAAGCTGAGTGAGGAAGGAGAAGCCAAGAGACACCAGCTGTAATAGCAGCTGGAGCGATAACAGAGGCAGCAGGAAGATAGGAGCCTAGGGACTCCCCATTAATACTTCACGGGTTGCCAGTTGGACAGTCCTAGCGTAGGGGGTTGCAAGTTCCAAATCCAGCTACTGCTAAATGGTTTTTCCTCTTAGCAGTCCTTATTATATGCAATCTTAAGATAAACAGATTTCATTCCACTTCTGTAAAAAATTTCCGCTGAAACGAAGGTGGCCATATGTATTGCTGACTTACCAGTGTACTTCCATTCTGCATATTGTGCAAGTCTCTGTGAGCATGAGCACAAAAATCCAGGCAGGCAGTGACCCCTGAGAATGGACGACCTTCTTTTAAACCCAGACGGCACTCTGGTGCTCTGTGTTCATACTCAATCTGGAAACAGATGTCGAAACTTATCTGAATATCCCATTACATGGAATTAAGGCTGAATAGTTTATTGATAAGGAGCGTGTTAGTTTTCTAACACGTCTAGCCTTGGCAGAGTACAGATTTTAAAGTGAACAAAACTAAGCAATTACTGGTACTTTATGGCAATAGAAGTGTTGGCAAAATATCTGCTCCCATTGTGTTCCTTTTTACTCAGTTCCATGATGTCTTTCATTGTTACTGTTCCATAATTCTGCACTGTGTATTTAGCTGATAATATTTCTCCTTAAAGATTCATTTTGATTTTTTTTTACATTGGCCAGTGTCTTTTTTATAGTAAAATACAGTATCTGTCATGCTAAAAGTTCTAAAACTGAAACATCAGTTACTTAAGAAGATTGCAGTTCTTTGGAGAACTAATGTTAAAAGGGCTACATGGAAAATGTTGGTGTTACCTGACTCTTTGAAAGCAGTTTCTGGGCTTACTCCTGGCTTTAGACACATTTGTACTAAAAAAAATAGATAACTGACAATCAGCACAGTATTTTTCTGTCTGCTCACTAAGGAGCTTTATGATAGGTTTACTTTGCAACTATATGCCATTTTTGGTTTTATGTCTTATTAGAAAGTCAGAAATGGAACTGTATTTACACATTTTACCAAGACCCCTAAATCTTTCAACTATAATGCGAGGAAACTAAGTTTACTCACAACTGGGTCCATTAAAATATTGTGAAATTAGAGGGTTTACAGGTTTTGCTTCAATGTCATGAAAACCTTGACTTTTTAAAAAATTTGAAGTATTTATTTCAATCAGACCTTAAAATCAAAGCAAAATTTGAGAGATTTGAACTTGTACAAAATGAAATAAGAAAGAGTGTTTGGATTCAAATCCTCATTACAGTTAGGTTAGGAGCAAGGGGCCAGAGTCATATACAATGATGCTGAAGTTCCATAATATGCTCTTGCAGAATTTCTGCTGAATCCAAGCTGGAAAACAGGACTTCCTGGTATTGATTTAGTACCAGAAATGCAACGGAAGCTCTGTATTAGAGCAGAACTAGAAGACTGAATGTATTTTCAAGATTCAAAGGGATTTAGAATAGAGTTCCCTGTTTACAAAACCTGTTTGGAGAAAACAAGGAGGAATGAGACTTAGGTTTACATAAAATGCTTGAAAGTGAATAAGCTTGAACTATTTATTAGTTATATAAAGAACTGAAATTTGTAAAATGCCAATATCTTATATAAACAATGAATAATGGTCCTTATGAAATCATCTGTTAGAAAAGAAAAACAGCACAAAAATAATTATTTGTATTGTTCTGTCAAAATCATTCTTTCTTTTTCTTCTTTTGAAGAATGCCTTCAGCTACTTGGAGAGAAGACCACAGTTAGTGAGTCTAGAGTCACAAGTTCCTTCACAATAGCCCTTCAAATATTAGCTGATTAAAGCCATGAACAGATATTATATTTGTAGTGCTATGTAAACCACTGTAACACTACAAAAAGTGGGTGAGATCTTACTCCTCCCTGCTCAAGTCCCTGAAAACACTTAATACATAAAGTCGGTGGTTTCTCCTCCTCCTCACTGCTCTTCTGTACCACAGTCTTAAGGATGGGATGACTGTATTACAAAAGTAGATGAACTAATGGATTTTCAGGGACTTAAACACGTTGGAATAAAATTTCACTTAGATGCCTCATTCCACTTACATGCCTAATAGGTGGAATAAGATCTGGTCTTTAGTCTGAAGTGATGTTAATAGATTTGGGAGACCAGATACATTTAGAAGTGGTATTGCATCAAAACTTGATACATATATCTGAAGAGATGTTGTAATGGAATAATAAAGTATTTGTAGGTCAAAAGATGCCTACTCACAGTCACATGGCAAAATTAGCAGTTGTGCAAATTAAATTATAGATGATATAAAATGTCAATGCACAAATTTGTGCATAAAAGTGCTTAAACAACAGGCTTTCTCTTGAAGACTTCTCTGGAATGGTTACTTTCATGAATATTAAATTCACTTGTCACTTCAAGTATTAAGCAGAATCCTGGTGCTATTTTGGGATTCTACCACAAGAATATAGTTGTTGCTTTCTATTTCTCATTCTTCAGAGATGTGCCACTAATTTGGCCTCCCCTAGCAGTCACTGCAGCAATCATTCACATAAAGACCTACTGGTTTAACCACTGAATAATGCTAAATTCAAGAGCTTTAAAGAAACTTTCAATCATAGAGGCAAAGAAAATGTCCAGGCACTGGAGCATGCCTCTCTCCTGCACGCTCCAACCTGCTGGAGGCAGAGGTAACTGGAGAGTGTGATGTATAAACACAATACAGACCAGTTAGCACAGACTTTGTTCGTGTTAACTGCTCAGCCTTGTATTTAGACAGGTGCAACATTTAGCTTTCCTGGAAGGCTGAATTCCATTGGTGTTATTCATGGAAGCTTTTTCAATTAAATCCATAGTTCCAGTTTTTTTGAGTGAGCAAAATTGAATGCAATACCAGAGGATAAACTACATACAACTTCTGGCAATAAAGATAACACATTGGTAAAGTGAAGTGAAGACTGGATTATTCTAGTGACTATCAACTCTTTTCAGCCTACCTGGTTGTTGTATGCATCAGGTGCGAGTTTCTTGTAGGTAGGTGCCATCAGTGTTGACAGGTTTTGTAAATTGGACTCCAGTTTTTCTTCCTGTTATCAGATGAAATAATTTAAGTATTAACAACTAACTGTCTATATTAATATGCATGACATCTACAGTTTTTAAAGGCTAGTAAGATCTAAGATACCATGGAAATTATTTTAAATGTAAGTGTAATTGTTTAGATAGATGTCACTTTTGCTTGAGAACAACCATTGTGAATTTGCTCTCAAGCGTATTGATCCCTCCATTTCCTTAAAAAGTACAACACAACTCCAGAAAAAATGCACTTCTGTAAGGCCCTGAACAAACGCATTCATTTGAAATGCTACAAGTACATCAGCTGCAGAGCCATTGTAGTAAAGAGCTGTGCCACCTGTGGGAGGACCAACTGCTCAAGGATAGGCAAGAGAAAGAATGGAGTAATATGGCATGTTGGGGGTCCAAGAGGCCTCTTGTAGTGCCACATATAAACTATCCACAGGTTACATGCACTGCTACAAAATGTCACTACTTTTTTTTTTGTGGTGGATCCATTATTACTGCACTACAAACAACCTGAACATACAGGTGCTAGTTTTCTGGTAGCGCTACAAGGGTGTATATAGTGCTATAAAAGTAATGCATGTCAAAGGCCCATGATCCTTAGAAGAAGGCATCATATACTATAACCATGATTCAATTAATATTTAGGCAAATCATGTGCCCTAGTATGGGACAAGTCGAATCCAATCCTGATAAATCTAGCTATTACAACTATGGCGGTGGAAATGGGGGGGATACCCTTGAAAGTCTTCTTTGGGTGCATCTACACATAACATTAATGTGCTTTTGCTACTGCGCATTACATTTAGTACTTCTAATGTGAGGTACTAACTAAATGCACAGTAGATTGCCCTAATGCGCAGTAGCAAAAGTGCACAGGAGCAAAATTAGGCTTAATGCACAGTAGCCTAATTTTACTGCACACCAGCATATTAGCACGGTTCTTGCCATGACACTCAAATGCACAGTAAAATAGGCTACTGCGCTTCAAAGCATATGTGTAGAAGCACCCTTTGAAAACCTGAAGAAAAAAGAGGAAAATAATCTAACTTGAGAGTTTTACATGCTGAGATTATAACACTACAACATATTTCAATTATCTCTCTGTGCAGTAATTTAAAATTATTAGAATACTTAAGACTTTGAAAAGTCACCAGTTTTTAAGCAATCGAGATATGTGGGTGTGTCTAATGCAAAGCAATTGGGGATTATGGATGACCACTTATGGTTCTTTTGGTTTTTTTAGGTAGAGGTAAAATCTTTCAAAATTAAAGGCTCTTAAAAACATGAAGTGCTTTAGTCATTTTAAAGTTGTTCCACTATTTCTTCATGCTCAGAATCCTAATTTTAGAACCTTGTTTCTTAAATTAAAAATAAGGGCTTCATTTCAAATGTATCAAAAACTGCAGCATTGGTGATGTAACAAAAATATAATAATCTTTAGGAGTTCATATCCTCATGTCAAAATATGAAATATAATTAAAAACCCAATCTTGGTAGGCACAGGTTTTGTTAACATTTTTCATTTTCTAGTTTCATCACAAGTTCTAGGGGTTCACAGGAACCCAGGATTAAAGTGTGATACTATGCCAAAAACCTTTTACTGTGTCCCTTCTCTGGTTGCTGTCAAAACCCATAACCATCCTATTGCTTTCATTTTCAGTCTGAACTGCAACTCATAAAAGGCAGCTGCTTTAAACCCTTGTTCATGAATATCCTGGCAGAGATGTGCATTGTGCTATGCCTATGTTGCAGTGTTATCAAGCACAGATATTTTATAATTGATAGGAAAAAAAAAAAGGGAAAAATATTATAATGTTTCATTTTTTAATATTAAATGTATTAGTATAACTCCAGTCCATATACGGCATACTAGATATACTGTATGGTAAAATGGTTTATGCCTCTGAAGAGCTGGTATAAAAAAAATAGGTTCCCCATCAAAAATGTTACCAAGATCTTTGTCTTTTTCACCAAATTATAAAAACTAAAAAATATTTAACCAGGTCTCCAATTGCATAATTCACTGACTACATGACATGCTAAATACATTCTCAACTTTTGGCATATTTTGACCCACTGTCAGTAGACATGCAGGAATCTAGGGTCCTAATCTGCTCTCCTGCATGCCAAAAGTGACATCAGGCAAGCAGAACCTTCCATAAAAAGGCAGCACGTGAGTACTGGAGCACCAAAGTCAGAACCTCAAGAACAGCTTGTGCCTCACCTACAGGTGTGGCTGCTATCCTTTCTAATATGATCTTTGCAGTTAGCGTGTAATTCTGGGGTCAAAAACATATTGCAGCTTGGAGGTCATGCTGGAAGCTGGCAGTGAGGCATCATCGTGAAGAAAATGACCCTACCAGTTCCCCTCTCTCTCTTACTGTACCTCAAAGCTTTGTCATAGTATTTTTGTGCAGTTTACTGAAGCTCTGAGCTGCAAGATATCATATGTCTTTACTTGGTAACCCCCCTGAACTGCCCCTGGAGTACCTGCATGTAGAATGCTTGCCTGTGTGCTTAATATAACCACAGTTGTTCACACTACTCATTCCTGTAATTTTGGAAGCCTGCAAAAA